AATAGGACTTCAGCTCTTTCAGACATTTCTACAGTTTCAATGATTCAACAGTTTCAATGATTCAACAGTTTCAAGGATTCAACAGTTTCAAGGATTCAACAGTTTCAAGGATTTCAGCAGTTTCAAGATTTCAAGAGTTTCAAGGACTTCAACAGTTTCAAGGACTTCAGCAGTTTCAAGGACTTCAGCAGTTTCAAGGACTTCAGCAGTTTCAAGGACTTCAACAGTTTCAAGGACTTCAGCAGTTTCAAGGACTTCAGTGTAATCATGCAACCTAATAGGGATTTTTCCATGTAAACCAGTATAATGCAACTTAATAGGGATTTTTCCATGTAAACCAGTATAATGCAACTTAATAGGGTTTTTTCATGTAAACCAGTATAATGCAACTTAATAGGGTTTTTTTTCATGTAAACCAGTATAATGCAACTTAATGGGGATTTTTCCATGTAAACCAGTATAATGCAACTTAATAGGGGTTTTTACATGTAAACCAGTATAATGCAACTTAATAGGGTTTTTTCATGTAAACCAGTATAATGCAACTTAATAGGGTTTTTTTTCATGTAAACCAGTATAATGCAACTTAATGGGGATTTTTCCATGTAAACCAGTATAATGCAACTTAATAGGGGTTTTTACATGTAAACCAGTATAATGCAACTTAATAGGGTTTTTTCCATGTAAACCAGTATAATGCAACTTAATAGGGTTTTTTCCATGTAAACCAGTATAATGCAACTTAATAGGGTTTTTTCCATGTAAACCAGTACAATGCAACTTAATAGGGATTTTTCCATGTAAACCAGTATAATGCAACTTAATAGGGTTTTTTACATGTAAACCAGTATAATGCAACTTAATGGGGATTTTTCCATGTAAACCAGTATTTATGCAACTTAATAGGGATTTTTCCATGTAAACCAGTATAATGCAACTTAATAGGGTTTTTTCATGTAAACCAGTATAATGCAACTTAATAGGGTTTTTTTTCATGTAAACCAGTATAATGCAACTTAATGGGGATTTTTCCATGTAAACCAGTATAATGCAACTTAATAGGGGTTTTTACATGTAAACCAGTATAATGCAACTTAATAGGGTTTTTTCCATGTAAACCAGTATAATGCAACTTAATAGGGTTTTTTCCATGTAAACCAGTATAATGCAACTTAATAGGGTTTTTTCCATGTAAACCAGTACAATGCAACTTAATAGGGATTTTTCCATGTAAACCAGTATAATGCAACTTAATAGGGTTTTTTACATGTAAACCAGTATAATGCAACTTAATGGGGATTTTTCCATGTAAACCAGTATTATGCAACTTAATAGGGATTTTTCCATGTAAACCAGTATAATGCAACTTAATAGGGATTTTTCCTTGTAAACCAGTATAATGCAACTTAATAGGGTTTTTTTCATGTAAACCAGTATAATGCAACTTAATGGGGATTTTTCCATGTAAACCAGTATTATGCAACTTAATAGGGATTTTTCCATGTAAACCAGTATAATGCAACTTAATAGGGTTTTTACATATAAACCAGTATAATGGAACTTAATAGGGGTTTTTACATGTAAACCAGTATAATGGAACTTAATAGGGGTTTTTACATGTAAACCAGTATAATGCAACTTAATAAGGATTTTTACATGTAAACCACTATAATGTAACCTAATAGGGGTTTTTACATGTAAACCAGTATAAAGCAACTTAATAGGGATTTGTACATGTAAACCAGTATAATGCAACCTAATAGGGATTTTTCCATGTAAACCAGTATAATGCAACTTAATAGAGATTTTTCCATGTAAACCAGTATAATGCAACTTAATAGGGATTTTTCCATGTAAACCAGTATAATGCAACCTAATAGGGATTTTTCCATGTAAACCAGTATAATGCAACCTAATAGGGATTTTTCCATGTAAACCAGTATAATGCAACCTAATAGGTTGCATTATACCACCAGACCAAGACCCAAACGAAGACTCAGACCACCACCAGATAATGACCACAGACCAGGTTTCCTTAGTTACAGGAACCAAATTGTTTCAGCGGTGAGGGGATTTTTCAGTTTCAAGGACACTTTCAATACATTCAGTAGTTTCAAGGATTTCAACTGTTTAAGAATTTAACCAGTTTCAAGGATATCAGGAGGTTCAAGGATTTCAGGAGTTTCCACACTTTCAACAGTTTCCAGGTTTAAAAAAAGTTTCAAGGATTTCAGGAGTTTCAATGTTTCAACAGTTTCAAGGATTTCAGGAGTTTAAAGGTTTCAACAATTTCAAGGACTTCAGGAGTTTCAAATATCTATCAAGTATTTTAACAGTTTCAAGGCCTTTTAAAGGATTTCAAGGATTTTTTTTAGCAGATTTCCACATTAGATCTGTTCCGCAGTCAATCGCAATGGCTTCAGCCATTGCAAGTTTCTAGTTCCGTCTTTTTCCTGATTTTTGACACGTTTCACAGCTTTCACATTTTCAACAATTTCCACAAGTTATACATCAAAACGTTCCACATGTTTGGGAGATTATTGCTATTACTTTTGGGACTTCAGCGATTTCCAGTTTTTCCGCAATCGGACAAAAATCGGTCGATTTTTCCCATTGACTTATAATGGGGCTTCCACAAATTCATAGTTTTCAGAATTTTCTTCAACATTTTCAGCATTTTCTGCAGTTTGTGCATGTTCAGCTTCCACAACTTGTGAGTTTTCAGAAAAAATTAGAGTTCTGCAGTTTTCCAGTTTTTTTCTACGGGCTTGGGAATTCTGCCATTAATTTGCATTGAGAATTCTGCAATGCATTTTAATAGGCCCATGCATTTTAATAGGACTTCAGCTCTTTCAGACATTTCTACAGTTTCAATGATTCAACAGTTTCAATGATTCAACAGTTTCAAGGATTCAACAGTTTCAAGGATTCAACAGTGTCAAGGTTTCAAGAGTTTCAAGGACTTCAGCAGTTTCAAGGTTTCAAGAGTTTCAAGGATTCAACAGTTTCAAGGTTTCAAGAGTTTCAAGGACTTCAACAGTTTCAAGGATTCAACAGTGTCAAGGTTTCAAGAGTTTCAAGGACTTCAGCAGTTTCAAGGTTTCAAGAGTTTCAAGGATTCAACAGTTTCAAGGTTTCAAGAGTTTCAAGGACTTCAACAGTTTCAAGGACTTCTACAGTTTCAAGGACTTCAGCAGTTTCAAGGACTTCAGTGTAATCATGCAACCTAATAGGGATTTTTCCATGTAAACCAGTATAATGCAACTTAATAGGGTTTTTTTCCATGTAAACCAGTATAATGCAACTTAATAGGGTTTTTTTCATGTAAACCAGTATAATGCAACTTAATAGGGATTTTTCCATGTAAACCAGTATAATGCAACTTAATAGGGATTTTTCCATGTAAACCAGTATAATGCAACTTAATGGGGATTTTTACATGTAAACCAGTATAATGCAACTTAATAGGGGTTTTTACATGTAAACCAGTATAATGCAACTTAATAGGGGTTTTTTACATGTAAACCAGTATAATGGAACTTAATAGGGTTTTTTACATGTAAACCAGTATAATGGAACTTAATAGGGGTTTTTACATGTAAACCAGTATAATGGAACTTAATAGGGGTTTTTACATGTAAACCAGTATAATGCAACTTAATAGGGATTTTTACATGTAAACCAGTATAATGCAACTTAATAGGGATTTTTCCATGTAAACCAGTATAATGCAACTTAATAGGGTTTTTTACATGTAAACCAGTATAATGCAACTTAATGGGGATTTTTCCATGTAAACCAGTATAATGCAACTTAATAGGGGTTTTCACATGTAAACCAGTATAAAGGATAACAGTTTAAAGGATATCAGGAGCTTCAAATACTTCAGGAGTTTCAAAGATGTTTAAAGTATTTTAACAGTTTCAAGGATTTCAAGGATTTTTCAGCTAAATTCCACATTAGATCTGTTCCGCAGTCAATCGCAATGGCTTCAGCCATTGCAACGGTTTCTAGTTTTTTCTGAAAACTCACAAGTTGTGGAAGCTGAACATGCACAAACTGCAGAAAATGCTGAAAATGTTGAAGAAAATTCTGAAAACTATGAATTTGTGGAAGCCCCATTATAAGTCAATGGGAAAAATCGACCGATTTTTGTTCGATTGCGGAAAAACCGGAAATCGCTGAAGTCCCAAAAATAATAGCAATAATCTCCCAAACATGTGGAACGTTTTGATGTATAACTTGTGGAAATTGTTGAAAATGTGAAAGCTGTGAAACGTGTCAAAAATCAGGAAAAAGACGGAATAAAGAACACCAAAACCAATGGTTGACTGCGGAAGGTTCCGCAGTCCTTTTTTTTTTCTCCTACAGGGATCAATAAAGTATCTATCTATAATAATGTGTAACGTCAATTTTCCTGAAAATGTAATTTGAGAGAAACAAAAATATGTTCTGGTTTTACATTTTATTGGTTTACAATATGAAAGTAGTCCCTTTATTTCTACTCTGTGTAAAAAAAAATCAAAGAATCTATGAATCAAATGAGGATCAATCAAAGCATCAGGTCCAGGACACAGAAAAACAGCCACTTTAGGAAACTTAAATAATGTTTAAAACACTTTTCTTCTAGTTCTACAAATGGACAGAGGAGGTCTTTGAATAAATGAAAAACATAATATATCTGATTATTAAAATTGAACTGTTGTCCTTTTGTCACACATTTGTACCCTTTAATGTGAACAAGTCCAATGACTACATGAACGCAGTGATGGTGAAATACTAACACTTATCTTAGTACTTCTTTCCCAACACTGACTCGTTCTACAGTCTGACTGCAGGAAGAGAAACAGCGCTGCACGTTCTTTTACACAGAGACATCAAAGATTTCCTCCACAGTTCTGAGGTAGAACGCTGGGATCTGGATCAACACTGGTTTATTATGTGTCACATTTGAGAAGCAGGAAAAACAATCAGGCATTTGCACACAACGACTACCCACAATGCAACACCTCTGGTCAGCACTGGGACTAGACTGGCAGATGCATTTAGGTGAAGCAGATAAGAATCCCCCGAGCAAATATTGGACACGCGTTCGGAGGTTTACTCATTTTAGATCGACATCCACGATTCACGAGCCGCAGAGAAAGGTTCGCAGTCAGAAAGCTTCTGAAGTGAAACATTTCAATCACTTCATTCATATATAGATAAAAACATATATATCTGAAGATCCCGGAACATCACACAATCAAAAGAATTAGGACTAACACCCACAGAGGTAAAACTATGCATTTATTATCATTAAGAAATATTGTAGACTATTTTTACTTTAAGAATTATAATGAGACTATTTACTTTGTGATTTTAGAATGTGAAATGTAATCTTAAAAGTACAGTCTATGGTGAAATAAGTTTGAAGGGTTGACAACTGCTGTCTGCCTGTAACTCCCTATACTGCCACCAGAGGGAGGAGTTGTTTTTTTTTATCCCCAAATTTGAAAATGACTGCCTGCAAACACAGTCACTAACATAATTTCACCTGAGACATTTCTAAAGCTAGTGTGAGTGTGATGTCATAGTGGTACAATGACATCATACTGATACAGGGCTGAGACTGGAGCTTTTAGACAGAAAAGGGGCGGAGCTACATGTTTGTGACAGAATGGTTATAAAAACAAAGAAAATAATTTTTATCTTTTTTAAACTTGAAACAAAACCACATTTTAAAGGAATGGTTTATTTTTATTCCATCTTTAATTTTCTCCCACTCGAAGCAGTCTCAGCAGAGATTCTCAGACTTCCCTCTCCACACGTGTTCCAGACCGGGTCCATGTGACAATGACAATATTCAAAAACATGCAGGACATTGGTCAGGAGAAAGACATAAGAATAATATGGTGAGTTTGTGAATCTAATCAATATCAAATGATGATAATGTGGAGACATTTGGACATTTTCTGTTTAAAAATTGCTTCTTTCCAACAGAAATAGTATTCTACAACAAGATCTAGAACTTGACCAAAGAATAATAATAAAAATGATAATACATCAAACTTGTATAGCGCTTTTTTGGACACTCAAAGACGCGTCAAAATAACATTTCATGCAGTGTGTGAAAATGTGGCCAAAAGTGGTACTGCAGCCTCTCCCACTCTCCCTGACTCAGGTTGCCAGATATGCAGACGAATCCAGCTGGGACCATAACAGCTGAGTAGACAAGAGTTTAGTCAACAACAAATCTATAACCAACACCTTTTTCACAAAGATAGAAATCCTGGTTTTATTCCTTGTTTTGTCGTTAATGATTTGAGAATCATAACGAGACCTCTTTAGTTCTGCGCCACATGGTACTTTACCAGTGAGATTAGCTCCACGCGGTGAGTTCTGGCGCCCGGATCACAGACTTTCTGATTGGTCAAACGATGTGGAGGGCGGGACATCGAAATGAAAAAAAAAGATTTAGAGGCTGGAAAACTCATTCTGAAATCCAAATATCTCTGAACTACTGTTATCAGTTAAAGAAGTATTGGAAAAGAACATGTTTTATTAATGCTTTTGACAAATAAGGGCCCTTTAATGATCACAAAATCTTTAACAATTTACACATTTACAGTAGAAAACAAGATCAGGAACAAATGTATTTCAACACACCGTACAAGTGTAATAGTAACATGTAATAGTAAGTAAGTAAGTAAGTAAGTTTTTATTTATATACCGCCTTTTCACTGCAGATCTGAGTCTCAAAGCGGTTTACAATTGTTAATTTTTGGGCATTTGTCTCTCACTCCACACAGAGATGGGAGCGGGGCCAGTACAGGAGGCACATGCTAGAACTATTGAACATATTTTTAGTGGTAGGGGAAACCGGAGTACCCGGAGGAAACCTACGCAGACACGGGGAGAACATGCAAACTCCACTCAGAAAGGCCCTGGTCCGGCCGGGATTTGAACCCAGGACCTTCTTGCTGAGAGGCGAGAGTGCTATCCACTCAGCCACCGTGCCGCCCAATAGTACTCATTCTATATCTTTGTGTATTTATAGGGCACTGTCCGGTTTCCGAAATGTGCTAAAAATAGCTCTGATGACTGCGCATGTTTCAGACAAACTCTGTCCGACTCCGTTAAATACTACTGTGTTCTCCACATACGCGTGTGTATTTATTTGGGCTAAATCATTGAATCATGGTGACAACAAAACACTGCAGTTATGGTGCTTGTCGGAGCGATTTCAGATACTCTGAAAAGGACTATATGAAAGTAGTAACATTCAACCCGTTCGTTAAACCACACCATCGGACCAGACCAGGACCAGACCAGGACAAGTGCAAGAGGTGGGTGCTTGTGATCGGCAGAATTTCTCTCATGAAAAGGTTAAAAAGGACACATGTTTTTTTCAAAACACTTCGTCTGTGAAGCTGGACCAACTGTGGAGCATCCAGATCCAGTCCTAGCTACGTTTAGCTGGGACTGGATCTGGTCCGTCTGAGCTCTTCTGAATGTAGTTAGGTTAGCACAAACTTTCTCTTTATACCATTTACCCCATCAATCCATATTAGTATTGTTTGTCCTAATCCAGAATGCATACAAGGGATTTTTTCAACTTCGTGACTATCGGAAAATAAGTTCAGACGAAGCGTGTCGGGGTCCGCTTATTATACGGCTTTGTACGAACTGAACGCACAAAATAAACTTCAGTCACTATTCATGCCGAAAGGTTTATTTGATGACTGCAAAGAAAATAGTTCCCAAAGGTTTTCCTGTGGCAGGCGAGTAACAGTGAGGCTAGTTAACCTACTTCAAAAAAGCGATCGCTTTAGTCGCATTAAAAAAGTATTTTTGTCATGAAAACCTGAACAGATTCTTCTGAAAACCTCTGTGCACGTGTGTTACAAATGTATGTATAATATATTCTCCCATTAACATTTACATGTGTTGATTGATTGTCATTTGGGTTTATTGAGCGTGGCTAGCTCTGATAGTTTCTCTCAGAGACAGTAGTGACGTAGCCCGTTGTGACCCATGGATCTATTATAATATCAGCTGACAGTAGCTAACTAATGATCAAACTAATTACAAAGTGGATAGTACAAAAAAAACTTGATAAATGGAAGTTAATCACAGCAAAATAAACAAAGAAGGCGCTAGCATTGAATTTAAATGACAGGATAATATTATCATAATCCTCACCATTACCTTTTTATCAAATCAAACTTTCTACCAGTCACTGGAAGACCACGACATTCAAGCCAACGTTTTAATTGGTCTACACTATGGTCCCTGATGGTTTGATGGTGGAATTTTGCTACTGGTATTTCATTTTCGTCTAAAGTGACAAGCGGTATTTGATTCATTTCGGCAGTGTTTGTCCGAAACATGTGGGCGGGAGTTGACAGGCGGTCATTTAGTTAGTTCGCTATAGATGTGGCATCGCGGGAGCTCGTCTCTCACGATGACAGTCTGATCGTGAAAGGAATCTGTGACAAAACATCTGTGGAACGACGTCTGTGGAACGACGTCTGTGGAACGACGTCTGTGGAACGACGTCTGTGGAACGACGTCTGTGGAACGACGTCTGTGGAACGGCATCTGAGGAACGACGTCTGTGGAACGACGTCTGTGGAACGGCATCTGTGGAACGACGTCTGTGGAACGACATCTGTGGAACGGCATCTGAGGAACGACATCTGTGGAACGACGTCTGTGGAACGACATCTGTGGAACGACATCTGTGGAACGACAGCTGTGGAACGACAGCTGTGGAACGACAGCCGTGGAACAACATCCGTGGAACGACATCTGTGGAACGACATCTGTGGAACAACATCTGTGGAACGACTTCTGTGGAACGACTTCTGTGGAACGACGTCTGAGGAACAACAGCTGTGGAACGACATCTGTGGAACGACATCTGTGGAACGACATCTGTGGAACGACATCTGTGGAACGACATCTGTGGAACGACGTCTGTGGAACGACGTCTGTGGAACGACGTCTGTGGAACGACGTCTGTGGAACGACGTCTGTGGAAGGACGTCTGTGGAACGACGTCTGTGGAACGACATCTGTGGAACGACATCTGTGGAACGACATCTGTGGAACGACGTCTGTGGAACGACGTCTGTGGAACGACAGCTGTGGAACGACAGCTGTGGAACAACATCCGTGGAACGACATCTGTGGAACGACATCTGTGGAACGACTTCTGTGGAACGACTTCTGTGGAACGACTTCTGTGGAACGACGTCTGAGGAACGACAGCTGTGGAACGACATCTGTGGAATGACATCTGTGGAACGACATCTGTGGAACGACATCTGTGGAACGACATCTGTGGAACGACGTCTGTGGAACGACGTCTGTGGAACGACGTCTGTGGAACGACGTCTGTGGAACGACGTCTGTGGAACGACATCTGTGGAACGACATCTGTGGAACGACATCTGTGGAACGACGTCTGTGGAACGACGTCTGTGGAACGACGTCTGTGGAACGACGTCTGTGTAACGACATCTGTGGAACGACATCTGGGGAACGACATCTGGGGAACGACATCTGGGGAACGACATCTGGGGAACGACATCTGTGGAACGACGTCTGTGGAACAACAGCTGTGGAACAACATCTGTGGAACGACATCTGTGGAACGACATCTGTGGAACGACGTCTGTGGAACAACAGCTGTGGAACGACATCTGTGGAACAACAGCTGTGGAACGACGTCTGAGGAACAACAGCTGTGGAACGACAGCTGTGGAACGGCATATGTGGAACGGCAGCTGTGGAACAACATCTGTGGAACGAGAGCTGTGGAACGACAGCTGAGGAACAACAGCTGTGGAACGACAGCTGTGGAACGGCATCTGTGGAACGGCAGCTGTGGAACGACGTCTGTGTAACGACATCTGTGGAACGACATCTGGGGAACGACATCTGGGGAACGACATCTGTGGAACGACGTCTGTGGAACAACAGCTGTGGAACGACATCTGTGGAACGACATCTGTGGAACGACATCTGTGGAACGACATCTGTGGAACGACATCTGTGGAACGACATCTGTGGAACGACGTCTGTGGAACAACAGCTGTGGAACGACATCTGTGGAACAACAGCTGTGGAACGACGTCTGAGGAACAACAGCTGTGGAACGACATCTGTGGAACGACATCTGTGGAACGGCAGCTGTGGAACGACATCTGTGGAACGAGAGCTGTGGAACGACAGCTGAGGAACAACAGCTGTGGAACGACAGCTGTGGAACGGCATCTGTGGAACGGCAGCTGTGGAACGGCAGCTGAGGAGTGACTTCAGGCTGTAGTGAGATGATAATCCAGGATAATCAGACTGTGGTGATGCTGCGGACGTGCGGGCCGCTCTGCTCGCTCGCCGTGTCACTCTGAAAGGACGGGCCGCTGGAAGAGACGACCTGTGGAAGAAGGAAGTATGTAAGGATACTGTATATTACGCAGGTCATTATCGGGTGCGCGTCGGGGTCCGAGCAGATGATATACATGATCCTGCTTATTATACGGCTTTGTACCAACAGAACACACAACATAAACTTCAGTCCACTCTTAGGAATGCTGAAAGGTTTATTTAATGACTGAAAATAAAATAGTTCCCAAAGGTTCTACGTCATGGTGCTACGTCCCTTAGGACTTCGCTAGTGGGATATCACGTGACCCCCAGGTCACAGACGCCAGAGAGATCAAAATAATTTTCTCCAATCACCAGCCACCTTCCTCTATAAATGCCCCTGCACAAGGCCGCACCCCCTCTTTCACTCTGGCGCCGTTTGAGATCTACATTCGTTACCTGAGAAAGAAAGATGTCTTCTGATGCACGTCCGAGTTCCCCTTCGCCATCCGGCGTCGGACGTCGTCGTTGCTCGACCTGTCGGGGCAAGCTCCAACGCAAGGACCAGCACTCCAGCTGCTTCATGTGCCTGGGTGCGGGCCATGCGGCGTTGAGCGCCACCTGCGCCTCGTGTGTCGCTCTCCCCAGGGAGGAGAGTGAACGCAGGCGCGCGTTCTTCGCCGCTACAGCGCCCCGTCCGGACTCCTCTAAGGACGAGGAGTCTGAGATTGACTGGGCCCCCCTCGACATTCCACCTGTGCCCGCGGAGTGGGGTGACTGCGAGGACGGAGAGGTGTCGGAGGTCGGCTCTCTCCTCACGCTGGACGAGGTGGTGTCCAACCCGGAGCCGGACCGCTTCCCGCTGGACCACATGCCTGGGCTCTACGCCACGGCGGCGGCCATCATGGATGCCCCCCTGCCACCGCAACCGAACCAGAGGGTGGAGGACTTCACCTCTGGGTACGCAGCCCCTCGAGGGAGGAGGAGAGCCCAGCCCACGTTGTGCCCGCGTATGGACCCGATCGTCCATTACGCGACACGTGAGTGGCCAAAACCCCTAGCGGCCAAGAGGCCCGCTTTGGGGTATGGCATGTACTGCAACGTGCAGGACTGGTCCTGGACAGGCGGGGTCCCGGACATCGAGGACTCGGTTCGGGCGGCCCTGCACCCCTCCTCATCCGTGTGGCCCAGCACCAGACCTCTCCTTCCCTCCGAGCGGGATAGGATGTCTCTGGCTATGCATGACAGATGTTACGCCAATGCGGCTCAGGTCGTCGCGGTGGCGAACAACATGGCTTTCATCACCGGGGCCCTGGATAGGTCTCTCTCCTCTGACCAGGCACTCAGTGGAGACACCTTAGCCCAGGCGAGGACCACTTCAGCAGCGATCTTGCGCATGTGCCAAGCGCTAGCTGTCGATGGCGGCCGCTCTATGGCAGCAGCCCAGGTCGGGGCCAGACACCTCTGGCTGGGGGCGGTGAACCTCAGAGAGGCGGAGAAGAGGCAGCTGCTGGACCTGCCCATCTCCCAGACGTCGCTCTTCGGTCCGGAGATGCAGACGCTGATGACGAGGCTGGACAGCGCGGCTAAGGACTCGGCTAGCCTAGCAAAACACCTAGCTACGAGACGCGAGGCCCGCCCACCAGCGCGGAGCCGAGACAGAGGCAGGGAGCGCTCGCCTGGCAAGCGCCCCGGACCATATCCACGCTCCGTGGTCCATCGTTCCCCAGCGGCGAGACCCCCGGGCCCAGACAGGCACACGGGAGGTTCGCGGGACCAACACACCCATCGACGGCCTCCCTACGGTAGAGGAGGTCGGGGTGGTAAAAACTCTTTCAATAAAGGCCGTCCGGCATTTCACCAGTACTCGCTGTCTGAGTCTCATTTGGGGGTATGTAACATGTCAAATGATTTGAATTCTGTTTGTGTTACTTCTCGAGCATATAACGTGGCTCCGCCAGGCCTGCAGCCCCCAGAGAAGGGCGTGCAGCGCGCTGTGCAGACCACGAGCTCCGATTCACGGGTTCATGTTTTGCCCTCCCGGAGAGAGGGCAGGCGGAGGGATCTGATAAGTGCTAATGTGTGTGCTCCGGGCGCTAGCGTGTTAGCATCTCTGAGCTACAAGGCTAACACGGGGTTTCCCAATCCAGGGGCTCTCCCCCCCCTCCATGAGGCAAGAGCCAAGGGGGGGCGCAGCAGCCGTGTCACGCGTGATGAGCAGAGCTACATTGCTAACACGGGGTTTCCTAATCCAGGGGCTCTTCCCCCCCTCCATGAGGCAAGAGCCAAGGGGGGGCGCAGCAGCCGTGTCACGCGTGATGAGCAGAGCTACAATGCTAACACGGGGTTTCCCGATGCAGGGGCTCGCCCCCCCCCTCCATGAGGCAAGAGCCAGGGGGGGGCGCAGCAGCAGCCGGGTCACGTGTGGTGAGCAGTCCCGTACTTATGACGTCGGACCTGCAGAACACGTGACCGCCCTCGGCGCTCACGGTGTGACGCAGGGGCCCCCCCGGCCCTTTCAGCCACCCCCCCTCCCTGCTAGGAACACCAGGAGGGGGCGGGGCCATGACGTCTCGTGTTCCAGCTCCCGTTCCGCCCCTCACAGATTTCTACGACATCTGGAAGGAGCAGGGCTTACTGTCAGATGTTTGGCTGGAGAAAACTCTGCGCAGAGGTTACGCTCTGCAATTTTTCCGAAAGCCACCACCATTCCGAGGCGTACGGGCAGTACGCTCTCAGGTACGGGGATCGACAGAGGCACTGGGAAGCAGAGGTCTCCTCCCCTGCTGAGTCGAGGCGCAGCAGTGGAGGTAGACCCGCAGGACGCCACCAGGGGGCTGTACTCCCCTTACTTTCTGGTGCCAAAGAAATCAGGCGGGGTGCGTCCCATTCTGGATCTGCGCGTGTTAAACGAGTGCATTTCCAAACGGCAGTTTCGGATGCTGTCCACAAGGCAGCTCCTCGAGTGTGTCAGGGAAGGAGACTGGATGACATCCATAGACCTGACAGACGCATACTTCCACGTACCCATAGTGCCAGAACACAGGAGATTTCTGCGCTTCGCAGTGGGAGAGAGGAATTACGAGTATTGCCGTCTCCCTTTCGGGTACGCTCTCGCGCCTCGCACTTTTTCCAAATGTGTGGAAGCGGCTCTGGAGCCGATCAGACGTGCCGGGGTAAGAATATTGACCTATATAGACGATTGGTTAATACTGGCCCCATCCAGGGAAGTGGCCGTGAGCCACACGCAATGGGTCTTGTCCCACATACAGCGTCTGGGCTTTGTGGTGAACAGGGAGAAGAGCAAGCTGCAGCCAGCCCAACGCATGATTTACCTCGGTCTGCAGCTAGACTCTGTGATATTCCGTGCTGCATTGTCCGTGGACAGACGGACGAATATTACCCGTCTGGCCCGGGAGGTTCTGGCGGGCCCCAGAGTTCCCGCTCGGCGCCTCAGGTCCCTGCTGGGGATGATGGCAGCGGCTCATGCTGTGGTGCGGCTAGGCCTGCTCCACATGAGAAATTTTCAGAGGTGGTTCTCGCGCCTCAGGCTTCACCCCTCCCGGGACGGGGGGAGGCTGATCTGGGTTCCCCAAGGGGCAGCATCGGACATCAGGTTCTGGCTCACTCCGGGTCTACTGCGGGACGGAGTGACTCTGGCCTGCGCTGTGTCTCACGCCGAGGTGTTCACGGACGCGTCGCTCGAAGGATGGGGCGGGGTCCTCGGCCAGAGCTCTGTAGGAGGCTGCTGGTCGGACTCAGCCCGTCACATCAACCTGCTGGAGATGGAGGCAGTGCACAGAGTACTGCTGCACTTTGCCCCTCAGCTGCAGGGGAGACACGTGATGGTGCGCTCAGACAACACCACAGTGGTCTCCTATCTGAACAGGCAGGGGGGCACCAGGTCCCCCGCTCTCCATCGCATGGCGACGGTGACGCTGCTGTGGGCGGCGCTTCACCTCCTGTCTCTCAGGGCGCGCCACGTCCCGGGGGTCCGGAACGTGGGAGCCGACAGGATGTCCAGGGGGGGCCCACTCCAGGACGAGTGGGGCCTGGCCCCACGGGTAGCCGCGGAGATCTGGCGGAGGTTCGGTCGTCCAGTAGTCGACCTTTTCGCCAGTGCAGAGAACGCACAGTGCCCGTCCTGGTTCGCCTTAAGGGCCGCGGACGAGCCGCCTTTAGGCGTGGACGCTCTGGCTCATTACCCATGGCCAGGCGGCCTGTTGTACGCTTTTCCACCGGTGCGTCTCCTGCCGGTCCTACTGCGGAGGATCGAACAGGAGAGGAGGTCGGTGATTCTGGTGGCTCCGGACAGCCCGCATGCCCGGTGGTTCCCCTTCCTGAGGGGCATGGCGGTGATGGAGCCCTGGGCCCTCCCGGACGAGCCGGGGGCTCTAGTCCAGGGGGCAGGAGCCCTGTTTTCACGTCCGATAATCGGCCGCAGGCTCTGGGTTTGGAGGTTGAGAGGCGGAGCCTCGTAGATCTGGGTCTTCCCCCTGCGGTGGTGGAGACAATTCAGGGAGCGAGGGCGCCGTCCACCGTGAGGGCCTACGCCACGAGGTGGAGGCTATTCAGTGCCTGGTGCGATTCCCGTTCCTGGGATCCCAGGTTTTGCCCGCTGGAGGGGGTCCTGGGATTCCTACAGGAGCTTTTCGACAAGGGGAGGGCTGTCGCTACCTTGGCGGTGTTTGCGGCAGCCATTACTTCAGGTCACGACGGGTTCGGGGGGTTCACAGCCCGCTCTCACCCGTTGATTAAACGTTTTCTGCGGGGGGCGCGCAGGAGGAGGCCCCCGCTCCAGAGAACGCCTCCGGTTTGGGACCTCAGGGTGGTCCTTAGGGGGCTGTCGGGTTCGCCTTTTGAACCGGCGGCGGAGGCGAGTCCCGATTGTATCGCTTTTAAGACGGCCCTCTTGCTGGCGTTGGCGTCTGCAAAAAGGGCGGGCGATTTGTGTGCGCTCTCAGTCCATGCGTCGTGCCTGTCCTTTGGAGAGGACGACGGCATGGTGGAGTTGTGGCCCAATCCGGCTTTTCTCCCCAAGGTCATCACGTCGGCCTTTAGGTCGAGAGT